CTGGTGTGTGAAACTGAAAATGTAAATAAGGACCAAAATGTAGACTAGATATTGAGAAATGGGGAGAAAATGTTCAAATGAGAAGGTGAAGAATGGAGGGAGAAGAGGAAAAGAAAGAAGAAACAAGAAGAAAAAAGAGAATAGAAGAAAAATGGAAACACAGCTTTTGTAAATAAAGGCCAGGTGTGGTGGCAATGTCTGTAATCCCAGCTCTGAGGAGACTGAGGCAGGAGGATCACCACGAGTTCAAGGCCAATGTGGGCTGCATAGTGAGCCCAGGCCAGCCTGAACTATATAGCAAAACCTTGTCTCAAAAAGAAAAAAGGGGGGGCTGGGGATTTAGCTCAGTGGCAAAAGCGCCTGCCTGGCAAGCGCAAGGTCGTGAGTTCGGTTCCCGGTACCGGAGAAAAACCAAAAAAAAAAAAAAAAAAGAAAAAAGGGAAGAGGTGTTGAAGGGAGGGGAAGGGAATGAGGAAAAAGAAGCAGCTAGATCTACCATGTATAGGTACAAATTATTATTATTATTATTATTATGTCTTTTTGAGACAGGGTCTCGCTATGCAGTTCAGGCTGGCCTTGAGCTCACTTTGGAGCCCAGGCTGGTCTCAAACTCGCAACGATCCTCCTGCTTCAGCTTCCCAAGTGCTGGGATTACAAGTGTGCACCACCACGCCTGGCTTCAAATTCTCTATTATTAATGTTATCATTATGTATATCTAAAATGTACCAATAAAATAAATACCACAAAAAAACACTCCAAAATATAAAAATATATTCAGCTCAGCAGCTGTAATTGGAGCTATAAAGTATGGTAAAGTTTAATACATCACCATTCATAATCATGATCCATCTGGTTGAATTAAACAGAAATGTGATAAAAAACAAAACAAAACCAAATCAAACCAAAAATGCCATTCTTCTCTCCCCTTCTCCATATGTTTTTTTTAAAACCTGGAAGACAGTTTTGTGTTATTGGCCGGGCATGCAGCTCAATCCCAGCACTTGGGAGGCTGAGGCAGGAGGACTGCTAGGAGTTCAAGGCCAGCCTGGGCTATATTATGAGTTCAACACCAACCTGGGTGACATAGTGAGATCAAGAGCAGCCTGAACTCAGGGTAGGAGGATTGCCCTGAGTTGAAGGCCAGCCTGAATTACGTATCAAGACCCTGCCTCAAAAACAAAAAAACACAAAAAACAAAAACATGATAAAAGGAAAGAATGACCTAATAGGGTTGCTCAGAAATGCTGGATCAAAACAGGATTAATTTATCCTAGTAAAATTTTAGCTGTAGTGTCTACTATACATTCTCTCTCTCAAACTCTCTCTCTCTCTCTCTCTCTCTCTCTCTCTCTCTCTCTCTCACACACACACACACACAGACACACACACACACACTCAGTTGAAGGTCTGGATATTTGAAGCAACCCCCCTCTGAGCACAGCTCCACCCAGGACTCATAGCATTATCGGCCCTGCTACTGATAGTAGCCACTATTACCTGCACTTTCCCAAGCCTTGGCCTTGGCAACAAATATGGCTTGTGTTCTTTGAAGCCTTGGTCTTAGCAGGTGGCCACAACTTCCCCTCACTGAACTCTCCCCTCCCCATGACCCTACAAAAGACCACACCGCCTGTGGGAGGGCACCTGGTCTGGTCTCTAGAGCCAGAGTGGTGCCTCCCAAGTTTTATTGTGAAATAAACCAGTCCTGTTGAGTTCGTACCTGTTTCTTTTCCTTTTTCCAAACACTATTTGCATAAGGAGAAATCTGGTTTGCTTCAAATTCCTGGAAAGCTATTACTTCTAGAAAGTCAGATCTTTTAAACAAGGTGGCTTTTGTTCTGTTTTGTTTTGAAACAAGCTCTCACTATGTAGTTCATGCTGGCCTCAAACTCAGGGAAATCCTGCCTCAGCCTCCCACTGGGATTACAGGAGGGCACCACCATGTCTGGGTTAAGTAAAATGATTTTTTTGGCGGGGGGTGGGGGGGACCGGGATTCGAACTCAGGACCTTGTGCTTGCCAGGCAGGCGCATGTGCCACAGAGCTATAGCCCAGGCCCAGTAAAATGATTTTTTATCCCACTGTAACTGGTGTCTTCAGCAGGTGAACTCTTGTAAAAAATTTTTTTCTTTTCCATGTTGGGGGCTGAACCCGGAGGCACCACAGCAGTGAGCCACATCCTTAACCCCCCCACCCCCACCACCCGTTCAGTACTAATCGTTTCACTGAGCTACATCTCTAGCCTTATCAGGGACTGAAGCCAGAGCCTTTGCATTTAGCTACATGTCTACCCCTTTTTATTTTATTTATTTTGTTATTTTTATCCTTTTGGTTTTTCAGACAGGGTCTCGCTATGTAGACCAGGCTAGCCTCCAAGTCATGCAATCTCTCTGCCTCAACCTCTTTGACAGCTTCTTTGAAGGCTGACTGAGGAAATGGTCCTTTCTATCCAGAGTGGTTGTCCTCTTTCACCTAGCACACAGCCTCAGGAGGGATGCACACGGAGCTGTGGGGGGAAGGGGACACCCACCTAGACAGCCAAATCAGCAGAATCAACCCTGGCGATCTATGGGATGGTAGATGTTGAAGCCAGATCGCCATCACATCCTGCCTCAGCCTCCTGAGTGCTGGGATTATGGGCATACAGAACCAGATTTTTATTTTTGAGACAGGGTCTCAAGATCCTACTGCCTCAACCTTTGGAGCAGCCAATTTTTCCACTGCAGTTTACCTTTAAATATACATTTATCATTTTTCTTTAATCATCTTGTGAGTCAGGTATCTACCATTAAATGGCAACTGACTGGAATACATCATCTCATCCTTCAAGCAAGCCATGAAAAATCTTATTTCTAGGGGCTGGGAATTTAGCTCAGCGGCAAAAGCGCCTGCCTGGCAAGCGCAAGGTCGTGAGTTCGGTTCCCGGTACCGGAGAAAAACCAAAAAAAAAAAAAAATCTTATTTCTTACTATACAGAGATATAATTAAGCTTTGGAAAAAAAATTAAGCTTTGGATTTAGAACATAAACAGTATGTTACATTCATCATCCTGATATAAAAAGCACCTCCTAAAAGGTGTCAGAAGCTCTTTTTTCCTCTTACCCTCACTCTTTTGAGTTAACCTGAAGTATCTATCTCAAGTGAAATTTATTTATTATTTTGGTTTTTTGAGATAGGGATTTGTGATGTAGTACAGGGTAGCCTTGAACTCACTATGTAGCCGAAGCTGGCCTCGAGTTCACAGAGCTGTTCCTGCCTCAGCCTCCTAAGAGGTTGGATTACAGGCACGTGCTGCTAGGCACCGTTTAAAGGTAATATATTTTTTAAAATAACCACATTTTGGGAGAACTCATGCGACTCTCCCAGCACCCTACGAATTGTGACCTGTTTACTAACAACAAAAGAAAAACATTTTTCCTTACTGAAGGTTCCTCACTTTCCCCGTGGAGAGTGAGAAGACAAATCTGGTCTAAACTGTCTCCTAAAAGCTCCTCACCCTCCACTGGGGTTAAACCGTGGTCCGCACATCTGATAATCCCACCCCTGAGCTCTACATCTCCTAGATGATAGATGTTGAATCCTCCTAGGATTTTGAAGACGAATAAAATGAAAACAGCACTAACTTTCCCTCCCTGATAAAAACACAAGAATTCTCAATAAGTGTGTTTCAACAACCATGCAATGCTTGAGCTCTTAAAAACAAAGTTCTCCATTATCAAAGAATACTTTTGTTTATGTAAGAATTTGGGTGGGGCAGTTCTCTCATTGTTATCAAAGCAAGTATGAAAATAGATGATGCCAGGCGTGGTGCACGCCTGTAATCCCAGCACTCCGGAGGCTGAGGCAGGAGGATCACTACAAGTTCGAGACCAGCCTGGGCTCTAAAGTGAGCTCAAGGCCAACCTGAACTGCATAGCGAGACCCTGTCTCAAAAAGACCAAAAAAAAAAAAAAAAAAAAAAAAAAAAAGATGCTTAAGAACATCAACATCTCAACTGTACGCTGAAAATATGGCCAAATAGTTAAATTGCTGAAGGTACATAACAGAATCGCCTTTTCCACAGACTTGGGGGGTGGAGGGGTGGGGGGGTGGAGCGCAAAACGCTAACTGTAGAGCAGCTTTGGAGAAAGGGAAAAGAAAAGGGATTGAAGGCTGAAAGAAATCTGCAGGAACAGAAGAAAGCTAACAAGAAGGAAAACAGCAACCAAACAAGAGTCCACGACCCGTCAATCATTTCTTTCTGTATGTCACACCTCGCCCCTGGGCGGCCAGCTGTGCAAACAACTGTGCAGAAACTGGAGGCGAAGTCCTTGCCGCTCTTGTTCAGATTACCGAGCTCACTGAGTCTTTATTACTGGACTCAGAGAACTGAGTCCCCGTTTCCTTCCATCACTGAATCCCCAGTTCTTCGCATGGCTGTTCCTGAGGGAGCCCCGGTGCGGGCGCGGGCAGCCCTCGCCGCCGACGCCGCCCCCTAGCGGTCACCTCTGTGGCCCCGGCTTCGCGTGGTCCAGCTCCCCAGCCCCAGGTCTTACACCCACCCCGTCTTCACCTCCTCCAGTCCCCTCCCCTTCCTCTCGACGGCATCCCCTTCCTCTCCAGTCCCACTCCCCCCGCTTCGATGAAGGGGTGCCGCTTGGTGAGCACCCAGAGGTCCGGGCAGGGCTGGGAAACGGCGCGACTTCTCCCGGCGCCGTGCGCTCCAGCCCTGATGCGCCCCAGAGTCCGCGCATCTCTCTGCCCCCCTCACCTCCTCGTCCCGGACGCTGCCGGCTGCGCTTTCACCGAGCCCGCCAGTTTGGTCCCGTTTCCTTCTCTAGTTAAAACTCCCTGTCAGTGACGGTTACTTTTTGGCCTTTTCAAGTATGCATATTTTGGGGGCCTTTACCCCCCCTCGTGGAGAAATGGAGGCAACAAAATGGCGGACCCGGAAGTGAAGGCGCCGCGAGAAACGCGTTTCGGCGGAAGAATCTTGGAGGGAAATTGGTTAGAAAACCCACATTTCCATTTGAACGGGAAAGTGATGCGCTTCTGAAGTTCGTCTCGTAAGTAATGAAGATCTCGTGAGCCGGACGAGGGTGCATTGGCGACATCCCCGGAGGGACTATTTGGTGGGGCGGAGGGTTATTGATCACGTGTTTTACGAATGTGTAGTTCCGGTGAGGGACGGACCTTGAAGGTGGTTTTGGCGCCAAGAACCCAGCAAACCGCTAAAGAGAAGTCTGGGTTGTATTTGTGTCTGGAGTTTCGGTTTTACCTCTCGGCAGCTTCTCCACTGGAGCTAGTGTTGTGGTTGATGGGAAGAACCTTGCCCCTTTGGCCTAAGTCCGGGGAACGTGTAAGGGGTATTCCTGGCGCTGCGCTGAGTCAGGCTGTTGCTTGAGGATCTTGTGTTGTTCGCGCCAGCAGCAGCAAGCTCTCAGGTCGTAAACAAATACCTGTTTCGTATTCCTTCTGGGAGTCCGGAAGATGGAGCATGAGTTTGCACATCCATCGTCCCGGGTTGATCCCGTCGCCACCCACCAGTGTCCATGCTTAAAGGACCGGACATGAGGAAAGCCCTTCTGAGATAAGGGTTCCTCACCTGTCATTCCTGGCTCCATGCGTTCATTTGTTGGCCAGGGGCCTTTTAAGGCCTATGAGAGTGTTTACGTCTCCTCTTTGCACACTTACTTAAATCCTATTGATGTTACCTTTATGACAGACCAATACTATTCACACTGGTATTTTTGAGAATAGAGTCCTAGTTTTTTTTTTTTTTTACTACTAAGGCTTGAACCTTGTACCTTCACCTTAAGCTACATCCCCTGTCGCCCCCATCCCCTTTTTTAGAGGGGGGTCTAAGTCGCTGAGAACCTTGAATCCTGTTTACATCCTCTCAGACTGTCTGAGTTAGTGCTTTCCATTTAGTAGGAACACAAAAACCTCCCCCTGCCCCAGTACTAAGGCCTAGATCTTCACAGTGAGTTATCTCCCAGCCCCTTTACATTTTTAGGGTGGGGGTACTAGCGTTGAACTGAGGGCTTCGCATTTGCCAGGCAGGCACTGTGCCGCTGAGCTACATCCCCGGCCCACATTTTTTTTTTTTAATTTTGAGACAGCGTCTTGCTAAATTGGCCAGGCTGGCCCAGAATTTACAGTGCTGCTTGAGCCTCAAGGAATACTCGACATAACAAAAATTATTTTTTTTGGTACAGGAAATCGAACTCAGCACTTTCTGTTTTGCCAGGCAGGCGCTGTGCCACTGAGCTATATCCCCAGCCCAACAGAGACTATTTTTAAGTTAGTTTCAGATAGTTTTTTGGAATGAGGTGAGTTACAAACAAGCAGATAACATTTGGGTGAATTAGTTTACTTTTTCGGCACCCAGGAAAATTTTATCAGAAATTTGTTGGTAATCAGTGGGCAAGCATAACTATAGTTGAAGCTTTCTTACAATTTGTTTAATTATAAGTAGCTTTCACCCTTTTCTTAGTTACCTATCTGTTCAACCTGAAGTTTACCATTTAATGTGTAAATCTACTTAAATCATTCTTTCTCATAGTTGTATATTAGATAACATGTGTAAGCTGAAGGTGAAAGCGTGCTAACGTTAAGGCCTATGGAGAGAAAAAACTAAAATCCAGTTCTGGGACTGAGTGTCTTTATTAAATAAGTAAATGGCAGCACAAATCAGCAATAATTTTGCAAGAGGTGGGGACAAGTTGTAGGGTCAAATGGCAACTGTTCATTTCATAGTCTTAAAGTAGTCGAAGAACTGGGCCTGAGGTCCGCTGATCAGTATTATCTATTGCAAATGCAGGAGGGCGAGACTAAAATACTAAAGACCAAACACTATCCCCTTTAGAAGACTTAATCAAAACCTTACAAATTATCCCAGCAGTCAGCAAGATTCTTAAGATTTGAAATCTGATTTTTCGCAGCAAGTTTTCGACCCAGACAGGAGCAAGTTGTAAAGTGACTAGGCTAAAGGTATACTCTTGAAAAAGAAAAACCTTCGCTATTTCTGAAATGATTTAATACTTTCCCCTATTTTCATTTTCCATGAGATACTGTTTCCTCTTGCATTGTACCTGTGAGTACCCCAATTTCTCTGGGGGAAAAGAATGTGTTACAAAAAGGAACAGAATTGAAAAAGCAAGAGTCCTATCATCTTAGCCTTTTAGAAATCTTGTTTTGTGGCAAGTCATCTCAAATTAAAACTTGCAAGATTTTTGTGAACCCTTTAAGAATTATTTATGTTTACTGGCCTGGAGCAAAAAATTAGGAAGGTTTGAGCAATCTTTGAAGCTGATTAAAATGGAATTTCAAAAAAATCAGCCTTCCATTTTGCACTATTTACGACCCCTTGGAGCCCCATAAGGACTACTTTCTGAAGTTGACGATCCCAGGGTGGGAGTGTGGTGAAGCCCCTGGCACCCAATATGCCATTGCTTGAGCCCCTATTTTGTGGCTTGAGGGCTTTTGAAAGAAATGGAGTAAATAGATAAAGAGATGAATAAATACATACCTACGTACATACATACATACATACAACTCAGCAGGCAAATTCATCAGCACCACCAACACAACAGAGGGAAGCGAACAAGATTAAAATGGTAAGGGATAGAAGGAAGGAGGTGGAAAGGGAAGACGACGAGTAGGGCAAGGTGGTGGGAGAGAGAAGTCTTGGCCTTAGAGCAAGTCCAGTTCAAAGGAGTGGATGCTGGCGATGGGAGCTCTCCAGAAGTTGAAGGTGCTGTACTCAGGGAGGAGATCACCTTCAGGGTTTTTCTCCAGCTCTGCTCCAGTTGCTTGCCCAGTCATTTTGCCCGCGCTGCTGTCCTTGCTCTTGTAGGTGGGTATATTGGACAGACCCAGGCCTTCCAGCTCAGACAGATCCAATTCCGGAATGGGCATCCTCCAGAAGAGAAAGGAGCTGTACTGGCTACTCACGGGATCCCTCATAGTTTCCTAAAAAAAAAAAAATTTGTCAGTTTCATGCTAAAGCCACCTCTTTCTGCCTCCTGTCCTTTTTTTTCCCCCTTTAGTACTGGGGGTGAACTCAGGGCTTTCTTACTGAGTTACATTCTAGTTCTTTTTATTTTTTGAGACAGAATCCATTAAGTCACTGGGCTCCAATTGCAATGCTCCTGCCTTAGCCTCCCAGAGTGAGTACTGGGATTAGAGTCTTGTGCCACCAGATCCAAGTTGCTTCTGGCATTTTCTAGTTTTGAAACTCCACATCCCTATTTAAATCTATAAATAATACAAGCTCTCTAGAACAAGCTTCTGGAATTTTCCCTGTGTAATCCCAGAATTTGGAAGGCTGAGGCAGGAGATGTAAGTTTGAGGACAGTTTGGGCTACACAGTTCAAGGCCAGTGCAACACCCTATCTCAAAAAAAAAAAAAATTCAGATAAGATCAACTTAATGCAATAGGTAACAAATAAGTCATTCCAAGATAAGAAGAAGTTAGTTTTTGCTTTTTGGGGTTTGATTTTTTGGTTTTTTTTTTTTTGAGACAGGACTTTTTATGTAGCCCAAACTGGCCTATAAACTTGTAGTGACCCTCCTGCCTCAGCCTCCTAAGTGCTAGGATTATAGGCTTGCACCATCACATCAAGCTTGAGCCTGATTTTCAAAGCCTGCTATGTAACATGGCCCTGCTAGTTACAGTTATGCCCATTCCTATCTTAACTCCTTCCACTCACTACCTTAAAATACTTCCCAGCTTTCAAGGCTCCATTCACATCCCTAGAGAAATTTTCCCTTCCCTGACAACTGTTTATATTTACAGATACCTGACTTCTTCCTGTGTTTGGTTTATTTTATTTATTTATTCTTGGGTTTTTTTGAGACAGGATCTCACTATGTAGTTCAGGCTGGCCTTGCATTCAGTTCTCTTGCCTCAGCCTCCTGAGTGCTGGGATTATAGGCAAGCACCAACATGCCCAGCTCTGCTTTTGGTTTAAGAAGTAATGATACCTTTTTTTTTGAGGCAGGGTGTCGATAGGTAGTTCAGGATGGCCTCAACTTCCAGGCAATCTTCCTGCCTCAGCCTCCCAGGTACTGGGACTATAGGTGTGTGCCACCATTCCCAGCATGGTCATGATAACTTCTGAAGAGGTCTTCCATGACGTTCTGTTTTCTATTTTCTTTCTTGCCTTCTAAGCCCTACTATAAATGCAACTCTTCCAGGACTATTTCTCTAAATTTACTTGGCTCTATCCACCCTGTTTCCTCTATTTCTGCCAGTACCCTGTAGGGTTTTGCCTAACACCATCACTCTGCAATTACAGGGAACTAGTAATGTGTTGATGTAGAAGGATAGTCTTGTCTCCTTAACACACTGGAAGTTTCCCTAAGGATAAAACTAGTGTACTTTCTGGGTACTTAGGCTTTGCACACAGACATTCAAGGCCAGCTGGTTAATTTTCCCTCAGTATTTAACATGAGTACTTTGCCATTCATCTATTAGTTCACAGATAATCTTACTAATCTACTTCTTTCTAACCTACCTCGCCTTCAAAACCAAATCGAAGTGGTAGAAAAATTTTTCTATGTTGTAATAGAACCTCCTCTGATTCTAATGCTAGAGGAGACTTGATAATAATGAGAGCAAATGGGTTGGATAGCAGGGCCTGGTAGCCTTTACCTTTAATCCCAGCGCTAGGGAAGCTGAGGCAGGAGGACCCCTGTGAGTTCAAGGCCAGTCTGAGCTAAATACTGAGTGTAGGCCAGCCTGGAATACATATCGAAACAGTATCTCAAGGCCGAGCCTGTAATCCCAGCACTCAGGAGGCTGAGGCAGGAGTACTGTTGGGAGTTCGAGACCAACCTGGGCTACAAAGTGAACTCAAGGCCAGCCTGAACTACACAGCGAGATCCTGTATCAAAAAGAAAGAAAGAAAAGAAGTGGTGGGGAGTATGTGTGTGGGGTGTGGAAATCCCAGGTAAAGCCTAGACTGTAAGGAGATAATTTTCCATGCTTTAATGAGTAGCTCCTATTGATCCTACCCACAACTTGCCTGATATTATAACTATTACAGTTTCCTGAACCTCCATCCTCTGACTTGTCAGCCAAGGTGGGAGGCAAGAAGCCTTAGTTGAAGCCTGGCGTGGTGGTGCACACCTTAATCCCAGTACTCAGGAGGCTGAAGCAGGATTGTTGTGAGTTCGAGACCAGCCTGGGCTACAGAAGTGTGCTCAAGGCCAGCCTGAACTGCATAGCAAATCCCTTCTCAGCCTTTTGGCTAAGATCAAGTGTGAATTGCATAGTGAGACCCTGTCTCAAAAAAAAAAAAGAAGCCTTAGTTGGAATGTTCCCATCAAACCAGAAAAAACATTCCAGTGCCTCCAAAATTAGAACCCTTATGTTCAAAAAGCCTTTCTCCAGCACTCACCAGGCCTATCAGCTCTCACCAGGCCTGTAACTCCTAAATAGCCTGATGCTGGGTATGTAGCTCAGTGGCAGAGCATTTGTCTGACATACACAAGGCTCTGGGTTTGATCCTCACCCACCCCCCAAAAAAGATTAATACTAAATAATAGCTTTAAATAGGCAGCGAAATGCTCCTATATAATGAGATATATCTACTACAGCAAAAGAAGTTTTAATCTAGAATGCAGTAATGCGTGAGAATACAGGGACTTTAGGAGTGGTGAGTGGGTAGGCTAATTGTGAATTGTTCTTTTCTTTGGTTCAAGCTCCAAAATTAAACCAGGAACTGAGCATTACTCAGCAGAGAAGCTGCTGCGGAGGGTGATGGGGGGATGGGATGGCAACCCTGGAAAGGTGAGGTCATTGTCCTGTGATATTCAGCTTCCATCACCTTCACAGTAATTTGCAGAGACTTGTGCATAGGAAAGAGCTAGAAAAATAGTTGTACCTGTTAACCAACCAATCCCCACTTAGGTCTGGGGCTGTGGAGCGCCTAAGAAGCAAGCCTTAGAATCAGTGGTATCGCTGACTGCCTACTAGGACTGTTTACATATTGCCAATTTTTTTCCCCTAGCTAGCTGGCTTCTTTTACATCTCCCTGGTAATTCTCCCAGAGTGACCTTAGTATGATGCTGGGCATATAATAGGCTCTTTAAAAAATAGAATCATGAGGAGAGAAAAATCAGAATTTAAGAACTAGACCAACCTGAAAAGATATCCAGTGATTTGTGAAAACTTCTAGCCAGTTTATATAAACCTGAGTCTCTTTTTCTTTCTTTTTTTTTTCCCCCGGTACTGGGAATTAAACTCATGACCTCGTGCTTGCCAGGCAAGTGCTGTGCCGCTGCGCTAAATCCCCAGCCCCCAAACCTGGGTCTCATAGTCCCCATTCTTTGCCAAAGCTTTATATAATTCTGTCCCAATAGTCTCAATTTTTAAAAAAATAATTTTATTGGTACATTTTAGATATATATAATGATCACATTCATTAGAGGAAGTTTATACTTGTACATGATATTTCTTGATTCTTTTTTACTGTTCTCAAATTTTATGGGACTTTATAGTTTTTTGTTCCTTCTGTTTTTGGGGTTTTTTTTTGAGACAGGGCCTTGCTATGTGGCTCAGGCTGACCTTGACCTTGCAATCCTTCTCACTCAGCCTGGGAATATGGGTGTGCACTACCACATGGGTGAAGTTCTAGTTCTTAAAAACCCATGTTCTGAGGCTGGGAATGTAGAATACTTGCCTAGCATGCATGAGATCCTGGGTTTGATCCCCACCTAATACAAAGATGTTTTTCTTTTTCTTTTGGTACCAGGAATCAAACTCAGGACCTTGTACTTGCCAGGCAGGCACTGTGCCACTGAGCTATATCCCCAGCCTAAAGATGTTTTTCCTAAAAAAAAATAAAGAACGCATATTCGGTATGTTAGGTGTTGATTGTTCCTGTGATCCCAATCTCAGTAGTGAAAATGTAAAAGGTAGTTTAGTGAACTAGAATCTTAGAAAAGCAGAAAAGCTCTTTGACAAATTGACTCCTTTTCTTCCATCCAGTTACATATAAAACTGCCTGAACAGTGTCTCATGGAACTATCTTGCAATTTAAAAAATTCAAAAGAAATTTTGTGAAATATTAACTCAAAAGGCCTGAAATCCCTAGCTGTGCCACAGACCCACAGAATGTACAGAGTACCAAATGCATTCTGGAAAGACCCATACACAAACACATGTGGCCTTAAAGTCCAGTCAAGAACATAATGTACGACTACACAGAAATTTGAAGCTAAAATACAAAACTGTTTACTAATGTAAAAATATTAATAATGGGATTTTTTCTTTCATATAGTATGGGTTTAATTTCAAAGCCATCCAGATTTGCAAACAGCTTATCAGTTGGCTTCTCCTTCCGTTCCTCCCATTCTCCACCCGCACCTCATCTCTGTCATTACATCCATTATTTATTTATCTTAAAGGGTTTGGTTTTGCAGTATAGCACTCAAAAACTGCTTCCCACTACCTTTTATTTAAAATTACCCAGATATTTTTGCTAAAGCTGATCTCTAAATATCACTTTCTAGTCTTCAAGATACATAACTAATGTAACAGATTAAAAAGGTGCACTTTCTCTGACTGACACAGACACACCCAAATACCCTTTGTCCAGACCCTCTGTAGACATCAAGAAGGCCTCCTCCACGGGGCCTTGCTGTGTCATGCTGCCACCATGGGAGTGGTGGGGAGGGGGGAGGGGGTGGTGGCACGGACGCTTTCTGGCATACCATGTCTGCCTCCCTCTGAGCTTGAATTTTCCTACTAGCCATGACCTTCTCCCACTTCTACTGAGCAACTAAGAATCTGCTTCCATTAAACAGCTCGTGTGGTTGTACCGATTTCGGTATGGGATCAGGCAGTTGGATACAGAGGCTGCCACCTTCCCTACCTCACTTTGGAGCAAAGGTTTGAGATGGGGAGAGGGAGGCGACCCCAAATGTCAGGATTATTCTCAATTTTATCCTATCTCAAGACTCCTCCCCAGAGACAAATAGAATACTACAGAAAAAAATTGGAAACAGGGAAGTAGAGACTAGGGAGATACGGCAGGTCTAAAGAGTCACCATAGCACTAGTAGTAAAAATTTTGGCTTGAAAAGGAAGATACAGACGACTAGACTGAAGATGTTAAATACACAGGACAAATCACAGGAAAACGGATGCTTGAGATGAGCTATGTGCTGAGAAATAATTACATATAAGTTGTTAGAAATTAATAGGTACATGATAACAAGGCATGGATGGAGATCTTACTAAAGAGATGTCAATCTGGGAACAAATCACTATCCATTGTTCAGAGCGCCCCCTTCTCTCTTTAACCGTTCCCCTCCACAATCTTATTTGGGGTCTTTGAGCAGAAGAAACTCTGTTCTGCCTCTGCAGAACAGCCCCCTGCCCACCCATCCCCAGTTTAGTTTACCTGTTACCAATGAATTACTAGCGCGTTCCAAAGATGGAGGGAACACCTCAGGGTCTCAGGATCTGCTCTAGGATGGAGAAAAAGGAAGCCTTTGCGGTTTTGATGGCTTTGTCTTCTCACACCCTCGCGTTCTTCAGTGACTCAGTCTGCCGGATTGGTCTCCCCCTGCAATGCAGCCCCTCCTAAGAAGGGCGGGAGGACTCCCCGCCCCCTCCCTGCCTGACTCGGCTAATTCAAATGATAGGTTCCGGAACCCTGGGCGGGGGGGTGCTCACGGCATCTCCGTAGGCTTATTGGTCCAACCATCATTCCCGAGCTCTTCCCGAGCCCCCAAGCTGCCCAGAGAGCAGAGAATGCATTGTCCTCTGATTTAGATTTACTGGTCAAAAATCTTGACTCTAAGCAATGAAATAGAGGGGTGTCACTTTGTTCCCAATTTAAGGATTTCAGGTTACTTATTAGGCGTTTTGGAGAAAAAAAAGTTCTCTCCTTTTACCGCCATCCTTACTTTCGCCTCGCCTTTCCACCCTCACAATAGGAAAAGAGGGATTAGGGAGGGTGCTTCTGCGCCTCTGAACTCGGTTGGTTCTGGGGCCTCGGCTCGCCCCCAAACCCGCGATGGCTGGCGCGCCAAGGGCACGCGAGACGCAGGGTGCCCGAGCTGCGCGCCAGGCCCCAGCGGAGGTGTCCCCAAGCTCCCGGGCGCCGGCCGGGGCGCGGCCCTGGGGCTTC